TTTTTTTATTATAAGCTAATATAAATAAATAAAAATATAATAATCACTTAAAGAATCATTGGATAAGTGTAAGTATGAATTAAAAATCATAGTAAAAAAGTAAAATAGATAAATTTGTCTATAAGATTAAAAAATTTTAATTAACTGGTAATTTGGTATAATTTTTTTTTAATTTGTTAGCAATTTAAATTCTAATTGCTATCCATTAATTCAAATTGTTAAATAAAATTTTTTATCATACTTAATTTGTGGTGGTGTTAAAATAAACACTTTATTTTAGTAGTTTGAGTAAAATCCCTTACTTAATTAACTTAATTATATACAATCAATTAAAATGTAAACATATTAAAATAGTATGAACACCAATCTTCTAACACTCCCAGCATGCTTCCAGATATCTTGACATAAAAATTAGTAATAGCCCCACCACGTTCCTATCTCAAATTGTGTAATTCTTCCCATGATTAATACTAGCTAGATAAATTAGAAAGTAGCATACCTTGTTGTAAGTAAATCCCATACCTTCTTAGCTGTATCATACCGTCTAAGCTGGAGGTAGATGGAAGGAATGGAGAAGTTACGTAACCAAGTAATAATCTAATGATTTTTGCTATCCCAGTATTCTAAAATGTTCCGCAAATTTTCACATCTGCCTTACCAGCAACTTCCTTTGGAGGTTTAATATCACCTAACTTATATGGCCATAATTTTCGTCCCTTGAAGAAATTACGCATTCCTTGAACCCAAGAGTAGGTAATTTGATCCACTAAGGACTCTGGAAATTGGTTGTACTACATCAGACTTCTCCATAATGAGAAACAACCGTAAGGAGTGAACCATACGATATCCGAGCAATTGATCGATTTTGTGAGCCTCCTGAAGAAGGTAAAGGCATACATGTGGTTTCCTTGTGTTCCTTCTCCAACCATTTTTCAGGTTTATGTGATGTTTGGATGCAAATTTGTGCATTATGCATTAGCAATTGATGATTTTTCTGTATCATTTTAGCAACTGA